CCACAGTCTGAATTACGAACACCCCACTCTCCACCAACCACGTCATATTCTTCCAGCTAACTCCTTCTAATACAATATTCTATTCAAACCCCTGGGACTTCCACTCCAAACACTCTACCATCTTTCACTGCCCCACCTCCCTTCATTTTCTCATTTCCCTCATGACCCAGCTTAGAGTTCATGATTACATAATTTCACATTGACATACACTCTCAACTCCATTGTCCCCTCTCATTCATTCATACTTGCATATGAGAACTCCAACTCTTGTCAAAATCCAACTCTCCACCCATTTCAAACCTCCGTCTGAGCGCTTGACCTTAGGTAGAGGAAAAACACTCAGCACTCTAACTGATTGCTCTTAAACTCACGCCTACCCCCACTGCCCCCTAATCCTGCTAGATTTCTCTAATTCCTTCACTCCCCAATCTGATCTCCTGGAAGACTATTCTATATTATCTCCTTTCATCACGAACCTCTACCACTTCCTTCTCACCTCACTCTCAGATGAGAAAATAGTAACAATTAGCAGAGAACTTCAACAGATTTCCACCACCACATTCCCAATCTACCTGCAGCTGTACCCATACTCCTGTTACTAAGGATGACTATCTGTGCTCCTCAAGTCAATTCCTGCTGGTGCTCTGGATCCCATCTTTTCACACCTACCCAAGAACATCACTGCTATAATTGTCCAACTTCTCTCTCAAGTTTTGGATTTTTCCCTTTATACAGGATTGTTCTCCACAGTATACAAATATGTCATAATATTCCTGCTTTTTGAAAACCCTCCCTGACCACACATCCCCTTCAGCAAACAGTCTTATACATCAGAGTGACATGATCTAATTTATAATTTAGAAAGATCATTCTGGAGAATGGATTATATGGGAGCAAATGGAAGTAAGAAAACTAATTAAAAGGCAATTGCAGGAGAATAGTTCTAGCAGTAGTAAACTATATAATATTGACCAATCTTGAACTGGACCCTTTGAAGGCTGGAAGACTGTTACAGAATAGGGCAAACTAAAGAGACCTAACAGCTAAATACAATTGGTAAACTTTGATTGGCACTTTAATCAGGAAAAATATAACCATAAAGAGTGGTATGTGGTTCAACATATGCAAATCAATTAATGTGATACACCACATTAACAAAATGAATGATAAAAATCACATGATCATCTCAATAGATGCAGAAAAAGCATTTCACAACATTCAACACATTTTCATGATTAAAACTCTCAACGAACTAGGTATAGAAGGAATTTACCTCAACATAATAAAAGCCATATACGGCAAGCCCACAGCTAATATCATACTCAATGGGGAAAAACTGAAAGTTTTTCCTCTAATATCAGGAACAAGGCAAGGATATTCACTCTTGCCACTTCTATTCAACATAGTACCGGAAGTCCTAGCCAGAGCAATTAGGCAAGAAAAAGATATAAAAGGCATCCAAATTGGAAAACAAGTAAAATTACCTGTTTGCAAATGACACAATCTTACACACAGAAAACCCTAAAGACTCCACAAAAAACCTCTCAGAACTAATAAACAAAACCACAGTGATTAAAACAGTATGGTATTGGCATAAAGACAGACATATAGACCAATGGAATAGAATTGAGAGCCCAGAAATCAACCCACACATGTATAGTCAACTGACTTTCAACAAGGCCGCCAAGAACACACAATGGTAAAATCTTCAACAAATGTTGCTGGGAAAATTGGATATTCATGCACAAAGGAATGAAATTGGACCCTTATCTCACACCATATACAAAAATTGACTCAAAATGGATTAAAGACCTAAAAATAGGACCTGAGATGCTGGCCCCATGGCATAGTGGTTAAGTTTGGCACGTTCTGCTTCAGCGGCCCAGGTTCGCAGGTTCGGATCCTTGGTGCAGACCTACACTACTCATTAGCCATGCTGTGGCAGTAACCCACATATAAAAAGTAGAGGAAGACTGGCACAGATGTTAGCTCAGGGCTAATCTTCCTCAGCAAAAAAAAAAAAAAGTAGGGGCCGGCCCAGTGGCATAGTGGTTAGGTTTGTGCACTCCACTTCAGCAGCCTGGGGTTCGCAGGTTCAAACCCCAGGCGTGGACCTACACACAGCTCATTAAGCCATGCTCTGGCAGCATCCCACATACAAGAAAAATGGAGGAAGATTGGCACAGATGTTAGCCCAGGGACAATATTCCTCACCCCAAAAATAATAAAAGGACCTGAAACTATAAAACTGTTAAAAGATAACATAGGGGAAAAGCTTCTTGACATTGGTCTTGGTAATGATTTCTTGGGTATGACACCAAAGGCAGAGGCAACAAAAACAAAAGTAAACAGGTGATGCTACATCAAATTTAAAAGCTTCTGCACAGCAAAAGAGACAGTTAACAGAATGAAAAGGCAACCTATGGAATGGGAAAAATACTTGAAAACCATACATTTGATAAAGGGTTGATATCCAAAATATATCAGGGACTCCTACAACAACAGCAAAAAAACAGATAACCCAATTTAAACATGAGCAGAGGACTTGAATGCACATTTCTCTAAAGAAGACATACAAATGGCTAACAGGTATATAAAAAAGTGTTCAACATCACTAATCATCAGGGAAATGCAAATCAAAACCATAATGTGACATCACCTCAAACCTGTTAGGATGGCAATTACCAAAAACAAAATAAAAGATAACAAGTGTTGGCAAGGATGTGAAGAAATTAGAACCCTTCTACACTGCTGGTGGGAATGTAAAATAGTGCAGCTGCTATGGAAAACAGTATGAAGGTTCTTCAAAAAATTTAAAATAGAACTACTATACTATACAATCCAGCAATACTACTTCTGGGTATTTATCCAAAACAATTGAAATTAGAATCTCCAAAAGGTATCCACACTATCACGTTCATTGCAGCATTATTGACAATAGCCAATAGATGTCTACTGACAGATGAATGGATACAGAAAATGTGGTATACACATACAATGGAATATTATGGGAGCCTTTAAAAAAAATAGGAAACCCTGCCATATGCAACAACATTGATGAACCTGGAGACAGTATGCTAAGTGAAATAAGCCAGTCACAAAAAGAGAAAGCTCTATAATTCTACTTATATGAGGTATCTAAAATAGTTAAACTCATAGAAGCAGAGAGTAGAATGGTGGTGTCACAGGCTGGGGGGAAGGGGAAATGGGGAGTTGTTGTTCAATGGATATAAAGTTTCAGTTATGCAAGATGAATAAGTTCTAGAGATCTGCTGTTCAACATAGTGCCTATAGTTGAATTGCTGCATTGTGCACTTAAAAATTTTGTTAAGAGGGTAGATCTCATGTCAAGTATTCTTACTAAAACAAACAAACAAACAAAGGGGCACGAGGAAACTTTCAAAGGTGATGGATATGTTTATCACCTTGATTGTGGTGATGGTTTCACAGGTGTATGCATATGTCCAAACTCATCAAATTATATGCATTAAATATTCGCAGTATTTTTTGTATATTAATTATACCTCAATAAAGCTGTTAAACAAAAAAGAATGGTATGCCGATAAATGTTTAACCACCGGCTGGGGGTCTGGGGGGATCCCATATTTGCAGTGTTTGATAAGTTCCATGGTGTAAATATTCCCTCCATGACCATTGTCAAGTTACCGTGATATTACTGAACTTGGGGTTGGAATAGATGCTCACGTTCTCACTGTACAGGCCAGATCTGGTTCACCACTAGATAAAGACATGTTGGGGACAATTGGAGATATTTGAAAGTAGACTGTGGATGATATTATTGAATTTATATTGACTGTCTTAGATGTGGTAATGGTAATGTGATTGTGTGAGAGAATGCCCTTATTCTTCTGAGATACATGCTGAAAAATCCTGACGGCATCCTGATGTTTGAAGACTACTTTCAGATATATGTGGACGTGTGTGTGTGCGCGTGCGCGCGCACATGCATGCATGCATGGGGGGCGCAAAAGAAAATATACCAAGAGGTTAGTAGTTGATGAAATGGCTGAGGGATACATTGGTGTTCATTAATGAAGCTGTCCTTTCAACATTTCTGTGGGCTTGATATTTTTTTTAAAAAAAAATTAATTTGTTGCCAACAGAAGATTTCATATAAAAATCTAGATTTAGTTTCTATTGAAAAAATCCTAAAACCCGGGAATATTGGGCTCATGCTCTCAAATAGCACCATTTAGCTGAACTTAATAGATGGTGGATGCGCTTTCCAGTCAGATCTTATCTGGCCCTCTTCCCTCCTTTGGGTTACCTTCTGACCCCTGTGGGCCTTTGCATTCGTGCTCCTGGTCTAGAAACTCTTCCGTGAACCTGAGGTGGTCTTTTAAGCTAGCTTCCATTGAGTTCTCCTTTCAACTCAATGGAGAAGGAAAAAAAGGAAAAAAGGTCATGCCTACTCAGTATTCTATTATTGCCACTGCTTCTGTAATTATTCCTCTTCTTGTGCCCTAGGTTAATATCTAAAACTAATCTTATGCTTTCTCAAACACATTTTACCAGCTCCCTCTGCTGACCCTTTCTGAAAGGATGAAACTTCTCAAATTCCTTATAAGTTCTGAATTTTAAAATCACACTTCTGGGGTTAGAGAACTCTAGACATGGAAGAACTTAATAAGGTGATAGTTCCCTAAACTACTTTCTCCTTCAGACAGCTCCCACGCTGGTTCAAGGGACAAGAGTCAGAGTTCAGTAGGTAGAACGAACGCCTGTTTCACTGAGACCTGTGATTTGGGGTGACGGCGCCCTCTAAAGGCTATAATGAGAACAAAGCGCTTACCACGTGCTTCCCTTTAAGTTTAGGACTCTGCCGGAACTGTGACGTTTAGGAGGGTGGGGGCAAGAGGCAGAAGTCGTTCATGTCCTTCGAATCCAAAAGCAGTATTCTAACGCGTCATTTAGCCCTCCCTTGAGATCACGGAAGTCTCAAGCTCTTGTCCTACACAACTTATTTTTCCTCAGTGATAACTTTCTGCTGTCATCAGCACAACAGGAAAGACTAATGGTTTTTGTTTTAAACTGAGAGCACTTTGATTCAAGTTAGCCTGCCTTTATTTTTCTTTTAGAACAGACTTTGAGTTTCGAGATTTTCTTTTTACAGACGAACACTATCTTTGACTATTGGCTTTGAGAAATAATTTGTCAGAGTATCTGCTCTATGCCAACAAGGTAAGTGTCCTGGATTTTTTTTTTTTTTTAATGGGGAAATGTTTCCAGAAGCTGCTTTTGCAGAGGATGAATATTCTCCTTGGTGAGTGCATTCCCTAAGAGTGAATGTGATTCTCTTCTTCAGGAGCCCCTTGATTAGGTTTAAAGCAACAGAATTAAGGAGAAAGTGAGGAAGCAAAGGAACATTGTAAGAAAATAAAGTTATGATGCAGGGGGAAACCATCGACAGGAAGGTGTTGGTGAGAATAACAGAATCATGAGACTTTCTGTGATTCTAGACTCATCTCTGATTCATCTGATGGATAAGATGGGAGTGCCAGACATTGGGAAACACAAAAGAATCCACAAGTGGTATGATAGGGAATCCTGTAACAAAGTCAGAGCATTGGTGGGGTGAAAATAAGAAATATAAACAGATCAAATTCCAAACTCAAATATATCATAGTCGATTACGTGATTTGCAAATCACCCAAGTCTCTCCATGTCTCAAAAATGATTCCTACATTTTCTGATCTGTCGTGGGGTTTTCATGATCAAAAGCCCAGTTCAATAGTTTAGGGCTTAATTCTGTTAAGGAACTAAATATAAGCAGCCTTTGAGCTACAAAGGACCTTATGGTTACAGCACACTTTATAGTTTACAAAGAGCTTGCACATTCTTATGTCCTCCGATCCTCCAAGCCTGCAGTATTCTTCCCTACCTTTCAATTCACATCTGTTTTTGGCACCAATTATTTGGCATTCATTTTTTAAAGAGTTCTTTCAAGCTAGAAGGGAACAAAGAGAAAACTACTAGAACCTTCTATTTTACAAATGTGAGAACAATTTCACGGGGAAATCAAGAATTTTGTCCAAGTTTATGCAGTTGGTTAGAGGCAGAAGCAGAATTAGAACTGAGATCTTCCAACTTCCATTTCACTTACCAACTGCCCTTGTTCACATAAAGATATTTTTTAAATGGCTGCCCCCACTCAGAAATTCATATTCTGCAAATATGGTAATTTTAAGAGGTGCATTCCCAATTTGTTTTTGCTGCTGGTTCAGTATCTAAGTCAGTCTGTAAAGGACAAGGTGTTTTTGCCCTGGAGAAACAGCCCACCCTGTGTCTCTGACTACGTCTCCAGGCATAGCTAAACAGCCCAAGAATGTGTGCAAGCGTTTGTACCCAGAGCTCCCTGCCGCCATAGGACATCCCACATGACACAGAAGCTGTGTGTTGGCTTCTCTCCACACAGTGGCATCTCCTTGTGGACAGTCACTGGGTCTTTTATTCCTACTGTTATTTAGCCACTGGCCATCATCTTTGGGGCTCCCACACCTGCCCTTAGAAGTACCCAGGGTGCGTCTGTTGAATGAATTAATTTGCCTCCAGTCTATTCACTGCAGCACATTTTGCATTTTACCAGGGCAGTTAGCAACCATTTCTTTCATGTTATTATTGCAAAGACAGAGCACAGCCAAGATCTGCCAACCCCAGACCTCCACCTACTGGCCTGGAAATTCCAGCATTCTTATTGGTGGAGCCATTTATTTCTGATTAGAAGCTGTCTAGACCTCCTACTCCTCAACCCAAAGGAAACCACAGGTATGTTTACCTACTTGTTCCCAAACTTGTTGATCAGTTTTATCTGTGTGAGCTGTCTTTTCTAGGGAGAAGAGAGGAAAGGAGGGAGACACGGAATTGGGGAGGAGGGAATGCACACTAAGTAAACATTTGGTGCTCGGCACTTTTGTGTAAGTAATGTCACTTTGTTTAAAACTGAAACAATCCTTCAACATGGGTATTTTTCTTATTTTATAAAAATCTTAAGGTGTTTAAGTCTTAAGGTGTTTAAGGTAAATACCTCTGGTCGTTCGGGGTCACATGGCTAGTCAGCTGCAGAGACAGAGTTCGAACTCAGTTCTGATGCCTCCAAAGTCTGTTCTCACTGCAGCCTACCTAGCTCTCCCAAATCAATAGAACCTCTTAAATAAACCAAAGTCTAAGGGGAAGAAGTGTAAGTTTTGCTATAAGTAACAAAGCCAGGCACGAAGGTCTCAACCTTACAAAGGGCAGGATGGCAAGTAAGATTTGGAAACAGGCAGCCTTGAGAAATACCTCTGATCCTCATTGCAAGTCCCTAGATCTGCTCCAGGTGAGTCCAAGGGGTCCAAGGGCTCAGAGGTCTTCTTCTGCCCCCTGTAAAGTCATAAATTTACTATTTCTGTGCCTGCAGGTCCTGATCTAAGAGGCAAGCTGCAAAGCCATAGGGACAAAGTCCCCCAAGCCCGTGCCAAAGGTGCAGCAGCAAGCTGAGCACAGGGGAGGGGAAAGGCTTAGTAACAGGAAATCACAGGACACCTCGGGCTCTCAGACCAACGAGATGCGCACATCCAGGCTCAGAGTCAGAGACCCAGAGACACTTCAGACTTGGCCTCTTGTTAGCAGTGTGACCTTAAGTCATGTCAAATGATGATGCTGTATGTTCTCCCATTTCCTGGTGCTTAGCGATCAATAAATATTTTCTCTCATGGTTGCCCCAACTCAAATACCACTATGATAAGTGGCATAACACTACAGAAATCACATAAGAATTACACAGCAAGATCATTCTTCAAAAAGTAACTTGTGTTCAAAGGCAAAGTCAAATCAGTTATAAATATTTTATAAAACAAATGCTTGGAGGTCTCCACTGCTCTTGATGTGTTTTTCAGTTGGCCAAGGGGGTTGAGGGAAAGGCAGCACCTGACACGTCAAGGGCCTGAGTGTGACATGATCCTGATTTGCTGGAATTAACTAACTCGTTAGCCCATCTGATCAAAGCCAAAGCTATGTTGAGGCGTACAGAAGCCCAAATTAGGGCCGGCTCCGTGGCTTAGCGGTTAAGTGCGCGCGCTCTGATGCTGGCGGCCCGGGTTCGGATCCCGGGCACGCCCCAAGGCACCACTTCTCCGTCCA